ACAGGTGTCCCAAGACAGGTGTATTATGGCAAAAGCAGGATTTCCACTGGAAACTCCAGGGGATGAAATGGCATAAAAAGTTCCTGCAAAGCAAACTTTGAAGAGGAAAAATTAGCATTTCCCACCTGCAGGGGATCAAGGCCACACAAAACAACAAGTGGAAAAGTTAATCTGTATGCAGTTTTAATAAATAACTTATTCAGTACAGAGCCCAGCTGAGAGGAACCTGAAAGGAAAAAGAGGTTTTCTACCAAACCAGTAGAAGCAGCCATAGAAAACCAGTCACCAGCAGTTCCAAGCCCCAAGGGCGGCAAGAACTCCAAACTCCATGAATATATCTGCCAAGAAGCCAGCGTTTGTGGGACACAGCTCATATAGATCATGGCAGCAGAGGTGGTGCGGGCTCTGTCCTGTGAGGCTGCCAGCCTTTGGGCCAGCAGCACACAAGGCTGTCTTTGGAACCAGCCGGAAATGTACGGCAGGACCTGCCCAGTAGAATCTCATCAGGGTAGTCTGCCTGAGATCACAAACACTCTGTACCCAGCCAGCCTCTGTAAGCGCCTTGCTTAGGCTCCTAGTAGTTTGGGTCCAGCCAGGGATGCTGGCAATACTGGAGGCAGCCAGAAATCCTCATGGATAGCTACCTCTTACACAGCCCCACAAATCTCTACATTCCAGTCTACAGCTGCCTGGCCACAAAAGGAAGAGCCAGAGCTGCAGGCTTCAGACAAGCACTTGGCAGCTGATGCTCAGCTGTCTCGCACCTAACCAAGTCCATGGCCACGAAAAGCAACAGGACAGTCTCTGTTGCTGAAGTCAACTGGATGTAGCCTTCGGGTTCCTAGAAAAGCACTCCATTCTCCCCGGTGGCTGCCCTGAGCTGGAACTTGTTCCATCTCTCCAACTTCAGAAACAGCCTCTTAAGAATCTTTTAATCCAAACAAGTGCTCTCTTATCCTGTTTCCTTTCCTGAATGTAAACAAGGAAAACACTTGGATGGAACTGGCCAGCCCGGGGCTCATTCAATGAGCTTGCCCTTCATCCTTTTTAGGGCTACTAGTGTGGGGCCCCCCACCTACTCCCCCAAAAAAGCCTGCCAGGGACAAGAAGAAATGCAGGAGACCCTTGGGCTTCTGCTCGTCCTTATCTTCAACAAGCTGTGAGGAGAAAGAAAGATCTTAATGGAGAAAGTACACAATAGGCATTTAATAAATGCTACTGACAAATCAGAATGGAAAGACAATATAGTACAGTGGCTAAGAATACAGGCTTTGGGGTTACTAGACCTGGCTCCTAATTTGCCACCTGTGCAGTAAGTTTTCTAAGCCTAAATTTCTGTATCTATTAGTAAGAGACTATTTTATATAAAGAATTCAGCACTAACCTGGAATATAGCAAAAACTTTTTAAAAAGTTTGCTTATGTTATCATCTTAAAGACAAACAATGTCCCATACATTCCTTTCTCCCCCTCAAAAAAGAGAGTATAGGACAGTAGGGATGTTAGGAGATGGCTTCTCTCATTAACTTTCTGGATGGCCTTTCCAGGCTACTGGACTGTCCTCAGCTGCTCAATTAAGATGTTTCAGTGTTTCCTATTTGTCTGTGACAATAAATAATACTGAATCATACTTTTTAAAAAGTTCCCTTTTCAATTCTCTTTCAGTGTTTCTAATCACGGCTAAGGTAAGGTTCTATTTGGTGTTAGCATATCTTTTTAACACCTCTCATACTTCTTGCTAATCTCTTAAACAAAAGAGAAGAGTGGCCTCAGGCTTAGAATCTTCTGTGACAGGCCAATATATTAAGCTAGAATTTAATAACATTGCTTTGTTATCACTGTTTATTTCCATAATTACCTTTAAATTACAGCAAGTGATATTAGTTTTCATATACTATAATGATTTAACTTTTAAAAGTATATTTCTAAAAGGACGGTTAATTTAAAGAAAACATAAAGTAGATTATATACTGAAGGTGGCAAAAATTATGAAGGCGACACTAGAAGTTTTGGAAGCACTGGGCTAGAAGATTTTTAAATCCTCTCTCAGTCCTAAATGTTGATGACCTAGAGTGTCAGGCTGCAGATCGCACCCCAGCTCCCTTCCTACAAGGTTCCCTTCAAACTTCACCTCCTCCCTGGAGCTTCTTCTGATCCAGCAGGCTGACTAACAGTCACTTGTTCTACTCTGCTCCCAGATCATGTTCTATGTCCATGGATTTGTAGCATTTACTACTCAGTACTATAACCATCTCTTTACATTGATCTCCCTTAGAGAACATGAGCTCCTTGAGACAAGAATTATGCCTCAGCATTTTATTCTCAAGACATCTATTAAGATGTTCTGTGTCTGGTACAAAATAGGAGCTAAAAAAATGAACTGATCCATCTGTCTTTTTTTTCACTGAATGAGAAGACAAAAGACAGTGAAGAAGAATATTGCCAGAGATTCATTTGCCTTAATTCCAATTTAACACTTCTTAGCACTTAAGCTGAAAGGCAGAACACTCACCTTTCTCACCTCAGCTTCAAGCACTAAATTAAATGAGAATCAATGAATCTGTTCCAAAGATGCCTCATCACATGATATGTCTGGAAAAGCAAACTTTTCTTCAGGAAACTTACCAGGCTCAAGAAGAAACCAGTCACATCAGCACAAGACCAATTACAAAGGTACTTTTGACTTCTGCAATATAGACCAGAACTGGGTAAACATCCAAGAACATTTTACCCATGTCCTTCTGGTGGCAGGATATAAAATACCAGAAAATACTAGGCTTGAGTGGTAAGCAGAAAGCCTAAATGGAGGTCTCACTAGTGTCGTAAGTGACATATGAATATTAAAATGTTTTAGAAATAAAAAAATGACACACATGTACAGGGGTACTGTTAAACTAGAAAAAACAGTAAGGAGGGCCTTCTTTCAAACTGAGGTTGCCCCTTCTGAAATATGGGGTTTTCTCAATTATATTCATGTTATTTTGGGTCTTGAATCCATACCTGATAAACAGGTAAACTGTAAGAATCTTTAAGCCACATAGGAAACGGTATTCTTTTAACTATTATAAATCTGTCAACAAAAAGGTCCAGCCTAGCTGCAATAAATATCCTCTTCAGGTTCTTATTAAGAATATGAATTAAAATCCAGCACAGTCCCTTCACTCCCTGCATTTGGTTTGCTATTCATCTCCATTATTAATACTGTAATGTAGGGTCCCCGTTCAGGCATACTTTTTAAAAAGTTTGGGACTAATTCCCTAGCCTCAAAGCCTTCTGCTGGCATTGCAATGGATCCATTTAGAAGGCTATAAAGGCAGGCCCAGGCATTTGCTCCTGACAGGTAATCAGTGAGGATACAAGGCCTGGGCCTGAGCTTAATAAGAGAAAAGAGGAAGTTGGGATGGGCCTGTGATCAGAGAGGTGGTATAGTCCAGTGGTTAAGAGCTCAGACTTTGGACTTAGAAAGCTCAATTCAATAACTCCTTTACAGCCTAGATGTGTGACTTTAGGCAATTCATTTAACCCCTCAACTCAGTTCCTCCTCTATAAAATGGAGATAACAAAATAACCTGATAAGATTGTAAAGAATTTTACACAATAATACAGAAGATAGCAAGAAGTAAAACAAAGCAAAAGCAAAAAAAAAAGACTATTATCATCTTCTTCATCATCATCTCTAGAATCAGCCTCTTATGCTGGGGCAGGGCAAAAGAGCCCTACTACACTTTCAAGCTACACACACTAAGCAGCCACCATCAAGATAACAAAAAGATGGTGTAAGAGGCAAAAAATGAGTATGAAAAGCAAAAAACAGACCAGGATAAGGTAACAGAAATAGAATCAGCTTTTGATTAACCATGCTAGTAAAGGGGCTGGAAAGATGGCATTTAAATTGAAGAAAAGAATCCCTCCCTCAAAAGAGTATAGATGGAAACAAAATGTTTTTTTAAAATTACAGATAGCAGCTTATTAGAGTATGTGATATAATCATTTAAGAGGCAATAGAGCGCAGTCATAGGAGTATGGACTGTGGAGCCAGACTGCCTGTGTTAGAATCCTGGCTCCACCTCTTCCAAGCTGAATCTCTTTGTGTCTCACTTTCCTCATTTTTAAAATGGGGCGAATATTAGTACCTACCAGCATTACACAGTTGTGGTAAAAAATAAAATGAGTATACACAAACACACACACACACACACACACACACACACACACACACACACACACACAGAGCCATTATAAGAATGCTTGGCTCATAATTGATGCTTAATAAATGTTAGCTTTTGTTATTACTGTTGCTGTTATTTTAGCTGATTCAATACTAAGTTGATTACGTTTAACTTGACGTTACAATTTGTTTAAATTTAGTTATTATAAGGAGAAGTAGAGGAGGTGAGTATAATTTAGAGATGTACAGGGCAGCAAATGGAAGACAGTAGGATAAAAAAATGTACTGTGGTTAATCTGAGACAGACAACTGCAGGTTAAGAGGAAGTAGGTTAACATGGACAGAGGGATAGAGATGGATATATTCATGATAGAGCAAGTAGAGTAAAATGTTAATGGTATTATATAGGTAGTGGATAGATGAGTGTTCACTATAAAATTTTTTCAACATAACTTATGTTTAACATTTTTCATAATAAGTTAGAGAGGAAAAAAAAGAAGTAGACGTAAAGGCATCAATGTGAGTTTTGGGTCACAGCTATGCTGCCTGACCTCTGAGCTCAAACATCAGAGCAAGTTTGGAAAAACCCAGAGTTCCGAAACTCTTGCTCATCATGAACATTTTCCTGCGCCAGATGAGCAGAGTTCAGGTGCTGACCTGGCCCACCTCGGCCTGAGCAGATACAGACAGAGGACAGAAACCCAGAGGTTCTACCTAAGAAGTGCAGCCCCACAAGACTATGACTTTATCACTCCTGCTCAGGAAAACCTCAGAAATAAGGCTCAAGGCTAAGTAATGGGCAGGTAGAGGGTGGGCAGGTGGCATACACTCACTCATGAACTCTGCTGTCACCATAGAGATCGCTCAGGCCGAAGCTGATGTAGTGCCAGTGCTCAGGGATGTTAGCAGAAGGGCTCCCCATGTTCCTGTACATGCTAACATAGTCCAAGGGGTCTGGGCCACCCAACCTGCAAAAGACAAAACACAGGGGTGTCAGTGTGAGCCTGAAAGCAGACAGTGTGAAGCTAAGGGTCTCTGCCTTATTAAACTAAAGGTCCCATCCTGGAGAAATCTGGTATGAAAGATAACTAAAGGGAGGCCATACCTCTCTGGGATAAGACCAAGGGATGGGCAATTGGAGGTTACCCAATTCCATAAGCACAACAGACTTCTTTCTCTGATCTCCAACAGCTAGGACCTCTTTTAGAGATAAAACAGATTGTGTGGTTGCCCCTTTGCTTCCTCCAGTTTCATATTACCAATCCTAAATGGGATTGGCAGGGATTATCTCTCTTCCACAGTGCCTGTAAACATACCACACTTCAAGGCAAGAGGTGCATCAGTCAATCCAATTGGCCTCTGTTGAAAGACCATCCTGAGCGTCCCCAATGGGCATTGTTCCTGGAAGCAGAGGCTCAGCTCCACTCCTGCCTCTTAGACAGCTAATTCCTGAAAGACTATATTGTACCCTATGTTAATTTCAGTTTGTTCTGAACAAACGCAATACCTCCAGACCCCTGCCTGCACCCCACAGAGCAAAGCTGGTCTTTTATCAAGCAAGCGACAAAGGCCAAACTTTGACTAGCTCAGCTCTGTACAGATAACTAGAGAAGCCAGACTGAGCCCTGTGAGGGGCCTGCATCTGGAAGGTGATCCCAGAAACTGCTGCCTCAAAAATAGAGCTGGAACATTAAATGATTTGGGGCCTCTGAGGAGCGTATTAAACATCCACCATAATTCCAACATACAGGCAACTGAGGAAGAGATTCAGTCATAATCTCACTCGGAAGATTTAATTCAATAAGGGTTCCCTTGGTAGAGTAATTAGTGCTCTTAAAAAAAAAAATCTGCTTTTCTTCAAAATGTATAGGGAAACTTGGTAGATTTGAGAAATGGACAAAATAGAAACCATGAGTGGAGGAAGTCTGCATTTAGCCACAAACACTCTGTATTTGAGCTGCCTCGGACCGAATCTGATTGTTCCACAGACTGCAAAGCTTTGCCAGCCCTGGGATACTGATGGAGTGTGCTTTGCAACTGGGATCCTATGCTAAAGGAACACTAACAACCAAATAAAAGACATGTTATATGTGATCAAAGCAAGCTTGTCAGTACCATGCAATTTAAACACTTTAAAACCAGTAGGTCTGGTTTCATCCTCTTTTGCCAGGATATTATTTGCCTTTGTCAAAGTCCTTATTCTTTGCTAGGAAATGCTAAGTTATTTATAGAACTTGTAAGAAAGTCGCTACAAATATCTTAGAATCTCAATTGAGTGGATTAGGGAAAGGGACAAATCTGCATGTCTTTCCTTAACTTTTGATTTTCCCAAATCAATTAACTAATTCCATCACCAGTTAGATTAGGAAAGTTTGTCAGGGAGAAAGAAAGGAAAGGGTAGCTATCCCTGGAAGGACCCATGATAGCTACAGAAGCCTCGAACGGACGGGAGTCATGACAGGCTCCATATCTGCTCATTTCCTGCTGCAAATTCCCAGTCCTATCCCTCCTTCAGCCTCGGTCCATCCAGAAACAAGTGCCAAAACTGTACCCCCAGTTCCATGCTCCATCTGCCACTCCAAGCAGTCCTCTTTCTGGCCAAGTCTCCCAGGAGGCACTGCATCAAGGAGAGAGGCTTTACCTTAAAACTCCAACTGCAAGGAACAACCAAGAATCAGACAAAATGAATCTAGTCCCCAAGCACAGTGTTCTGTTCTACTTACTTGGAGGCCTGATAGGAAGCAGATAAGTATGTAGAAAATAATCATATTTTGCACTTAGATGTTATCCAAGGACCCAGAGCATCCTTCAACTTAATTCCTTGAACACCCAACTTTACACCTCAAGGCACAGACTCTGCTGTTCTTGCTTCTGCCCCCTGCTCACTAAAGTCTCAGTTTTCAGACAAGATATCCTTGCTGGCCAGAATCCACTAGCCAAAGAGCCACCCTTCCATTGCAAGAAAAGGAATCCCAAGGTACCATAGGCCACAGCCAAACTCAGGCAGTGTGGGTCAGTCATCCTACTATGAATTGCAGAGAAGCTTTGTGGGATCCTAAATGTGAGGGACATCAACGAATTAATTTCAGGATCTTAATTATGCAAACGCCTCCAAATCTTAAAATGAACCAATCATTGAGCTGTTCCCTCTTATATTTTTCTGCATCCAGGCAGCATTTCTAATTTCACGGAGTGCTGTACGATTGTCTTTATTTATCATTACACATTAGTGCATCTCTGAAGATAAGTCCTGCCTGGTTAACAAGTTTGCAGCAGGAAGAAAAAAAAGTTGCCTAAACCAGTCTTAGTCCTTGGCATGTACTTCAATATCTTTTACACACAACTCTATCCTTCATGGCCACTTGGGTGACATAAAAACAGTTGCCCAAATCTGTGTAGGGATTTCTCCTTACACTAAAATGAGGCCTGACAAAGAGCATGGCAGAGCCAGGCACAATTTTCTCATGACACACAATATATATTTAAATATAGAGGTGCAATTAGAATGGGTGATTAAGTTATCAAGAGCAGTTTTTCACTCAGAAGCTCTCTTCAAAACTCCTCTCAACCAAGAAACAGTTTGCTTACCAGAGAAGACTATACTGTGGACCACACCTCCTCTTGGCTATCAGACAGAGGCAGGCTGCTCCCCATGGCCCTTTCTAAGGAGCAGGTGGCTGGTCCCCAGCCCTTCCAGGCTGTCAGATTCTTCACATGCTCCCAGGGAGCTAGCTGGTCTCAATCCTATAGGGCCTAGCTTCTGCCCGTGTCCTGGAGAAAGACTCAATACTAAAGGGAGAGATAACCAGCAAACATACCCACTCTACTCACTTAGGGTCTACCTGCCCCCATTGGCGCACACCCCAAGCAGTTGCTTGAACAGTCTTTCAGGATTCCATGAAGAGAGTCATCTAATACAATGCTTGCATGAATGTAGTTCCAGACAGATTCAATCAATTCCTCAGCCAACTTTTGGTCCAGAAAGACCATGAAAACGAGTTCTTTTCCACAATCCCCTTAACACCAGTTTTCCCCAGAGGCTGCAGGAAGAAACAGGTTGCAAACAGGAATGGGGAATGAGAAAAGGCCATTCCTACTCCAAGGGCAGCCCATTTGTAAACAAGTCTAATCCTTAACTGAGCTACTTGAGAGTTACTCTCAGCTTCTCTGAGAAACTGCTACCTAAATCCTGAAGCTTGTGGCCGGGAAACTCCTCAACATCTCACTGCCTTCTTTCCTATGTGAATCCTAAGTCTTCAGCATTTACTGTGGTCCCCCCCTTCGATCCTCAGCCAAACCTCTCCCTGAGCCTGCCTCCGTTCTAGCCAATGCTTTAAAGCAAAGCAGCTGCAGAAACAGAGTCAGCTCCGCATCAAAAGAACTGTGCAGAGTAAGCAGAAAGTTTATCAGGAAAAGTTGTTCCATGAAACTTCAAACACAAAAGCACTGCACTGATAATGACTGAGCTCATTGGGAAAGTATCATAAGGAGACCTCCCAGTCTCTTCACAAGCACAACGCTCACAACTTGCTCCCCTCCTAACCCACAGGAGAGCCAGGGTGCCCAGACCCGCCCCTACCCTGTGCAGTCTCGTGCCCTCGGAGCTCCTCCAGCCGCGTTCCTCCAAAGCCCTCTCATATGCTCCCCAGGCCCCGCCTCGCCTC